TATCGTCTATCCTATCGTCTATTCCTATCGTCTATCCCTATCGTCTATCCCTATCGTCTATCCCCATCGTCTATCCCTATCGTCTATTCCTATCGTCTATCCCTATCGTCTATCCCCAACGTCTATCCCCAACGTCTATCCCTATCGTCTATCCCTATCGTCTATCCCTATCGTCTATTCCCATCGTCTATCCCCAACGTCTATCCCTATTGTCTATCCCTATCGTCTATCCCCATCGTCTATCCCCATCGTCTATCCCCATCGTCTATCCCCATCGTCTATCCCCAACGTCTATCCCTATCGTCTATCCCCATCGTCTATCCCTATCGTCTATCCCTATCGTCTATCCCCATCGTCTATCCCCAACGTCTATCCCTATCGTCTATCCCCATCGTCTATCCCTATCGTCTATCCCTATCGTCTATCCACATCGTCTATCCCCAACGTCTATCCCTATCGTCTATTCCTATCGTCTATCCCCATCGTCTATCCCCAACGTCTATCCCCAACGTCTATCCCTATCGTCTATCCCTATCGTCTATCCCTATCGTCTATCTCTATCGTCTATCCCTATCCCTATCCCTATCGTCTATCCCTATCGTCTATTCCTATCGTCTATCCCCATCGTCTATCCCCAACGTCTATCCCTATCGTCTATCCCTATCGTCTATCCCCAACGTCTATCCCTATCGTCTATCCCTATCGTCTATCCCTATCGTCTATCCCTATCGTCTATCCCCATCGTCTATCCCCATCGTCTATCCCTATCGTCTATTCCTATCGTCTATCCCTATCGTCTATCCCTATCGTCTATCCCCATCGTCTATCCCTATCGTCTATTCCTATCGTCTATCCCTATCGTCTATCCCCAACGTCTATCCCCAACGTCTATCCCTATCGTCTATCCCTATCGTCTATCCCTATCGTCTATCCCCATCGTCTATCCCCAACGTCTATCCCCAACGTCTATCCCTATCGTCTATCCCTATCGTCTATCCCTATCGTCTATCCCTATCGTCTATCCCTATCGTCTATCGTCTATCCCTATCGTCTATCCCTGTCGTCTATCGTCTATCCCTATCCCTATCCCTATCGTCTATCCCTATCGTCTATCCCTATCGTCTAACCCTATCGTCTATCCCTATCGTCTATCCCTATCGTCTATCCCCATCGTCTATCCCTATCGTCTATCCCTATCGTCTATCCCCATCGTCTATCCCTATCGTCTATCCCTATCGTCTAACCCTATCGTCTATCCCTATCGTCTATCCCTATCGTCTATCCCCATCGTCTATCCCCATCGTCTATCCCTATCGTCTATCCCTATCGTCTATCCCTATCGTCTATCCCCATCGTCTATCCCCATCGTCTATCCCTATCGTCTATCCCTATCGTCTATCCCTATCGTCTATCCCTATCGTCTAACCCTATCGTCTATCCCTATCGTCTATCCCCGTCGTCTATCCCCGTCGTCTATCCCCGTCGTCTATCCCCGTCGTCTATCCCCATCGTCTATCCCCAACGTCTATCCCCATCGTCTATCCCCATCGTCTATCCCTATCGTCTATCCCCAACGTCTATCCCTATCGTCTATTCCTATCGTCTATCCCTATCGTCTATCCCTGTCGTCTATTCCTATCGTCTATCCCTGTCGTCTAACCCTATCGTCTATCCCCAACGTCTATCCCCATCGTCTATCCCCAACGTCTATCCCCGTCGTCTATCCCCATCGTCTATCCCTATCGTCTATCCCCATCGTCTATCCCCATCGTCTATCCCCATCGTCTAACCCTATCGTCTATCCCTATCGTCTATCCCTATCGTCTATCCCATCGTCTATCCCCATCGTCTATCCCTATCGTCTATCCCCAACGTCTATCCCTATCGTCTATCCCTATCGTCTATCCCTATCGTCTAACCCTATCGTCTATCCCTATCGTCTATCCCTATCGTCTATCCCTGTCGTCTATTCCTATCGTCTATCCCTGTCGTCTAACCCTATCGTCTATCCCCAACGTCTATCCCCATCGTCTATCCCCAACGTCTATCCCCGTCGTCTATCCCCATCGTCTATCCCTATCGTCTATCCCCATCGTCTATCCCCATCGTCTATCCCCATCGTCTAACCCTATCGTCTATCCCTATCGTCTATCCCTATCGTCTATCCCCATCGTCTATCCCCATCGTCTATCCCTATCGTCTATCCCAACGTCTATCCCCATCGTCTATCCCTATCGTCTATCCCTATCGTCTAACCCTATCGTCTATCCCTATCGTCTATCCCTATCGTCTATCCCCATCGTCTATCCCCATCGTCTATCCCTATCGTCTATCCCCATCGTCTATCCCCAACGTCTATCCCCGTCGTCTATCCCCATCGTCTATCCCTATCGTCTATCCCATCGTCTATCCCCATCGTCTATCCCCATCGTCTATCCCTATCGTCTATCCCTATCGTCTATCCCTATCGTCTATCCCCATCGTCTATCCCCATCGTCTA